AATGCGTGGTAAAATCCCCATTTCTGCTTGGCAGAATGATACAAATGGCCAAGCTATCTTGGGGTGAGGGAGCCAGACTTTGGGGGCTTTCCATCATCTGTGTGGGCTTTAATAAAATGGAATGAAGGTACCTGCCAGTACTTTTATAGGAAAACCAACCTGATAGTTACCTGTCTTGTTTCATATACAGGGACCTTAAGGGTCACCTCTTCCCATACCTGCCTCCCTGTGCCCTAAGTGTTGAGATAGAGGCCCTTCACTATGCCCTGACTAATGTGAAGGCTCAGCTAATGGAAAGAAGAGAAATGGCCCTCTCTGTGTCAGCGCAGAGGAACACTCTGCCCCTCACTTGACAATACCCTCATCTATCAGTGTTTTACTGTTTAGGCAAGCTTTTCCAAAAACAAACATTTCTTTATATATGATTTTAGTTGTTGCTAGTGATACTTTAGTACTACAACAGTGGGATATCTCATATATATATATATATATATATATATATATATATATATATATATAATTTATTGTTATTTTCAGGGTTATTTCAAGTAACAGATCACATATTGTGAAGCTACCTGTGAACAGGGTAAGTTATGTTGGATCTTCTATAATATAAAATTAAAACACCTTGCAGGGGGGGAATGGGGCATATTTGTGAATTGATTGCATAGAGATGTAATGACAGAAATGGCCTTACCTTAGGTACAGGAAAATGGCTGTCCTGAACAGGCAGCAAATTGTTATTTTTATTATATATTTTATTACATTTTACTGCCAGGGAGGGGAAGAGGTGCTTGTGGGATTGTCTTCTTCAGGGGCCAAATAAAGTGACCAGTCTTAGATACTAGGCTGGGGGTTGGAGGAGGGAAAGATAATCATAGAATTGTAGAATTGGAAGGGACCACTTGGGTCATCTAGTCCAACTCCCTGCAATGCAGGAATCTTTTGGCCCAATGTGGGACTCAAACTCATGAACCTGAGATTAAGAGTCTCGTGCTTGACTGACTGAGTTGCTGCTCCACCTCAGGCAACAAAATGTCTTGGGCAAGCAATGAATGCTGGCTATGAGACTGCTTTTTAACATTCAGCAGCCCATCACCCAGTACAATATACATTGAATGCTTCTGAATCCATTGCATTTGGCTATTGGTTTGGTCTTGTTGCATATTCAACAAGTCCTACTGATTTCAAACAAATGTCCATGTACGTGCAGTCACAGCTGTTCAGACTATCCTCCGGCCTGTTTGCTAGATGTTCATCCTACTGCTGCTATCAGGGAGCTGACAAGGAGAACAGGGCATTTACTTCCAGTAAACTTGCAAACGTTTGTGCTGGAACTGGACTGAGGAACTTCATATGAAAATAACTAACTAAATAAATTAAAATTAAACTAAATAAATTAAAAAGACAGTCATTAAAATATTTAAAAGTCATAATCCAAAGACAATTTAGCACCTGTTCAGTTCCAGCCACTACAAGTCAATTCTTGAAAGATTGGCAAAATTGGAACATCAGGAAATGTCCAAGTGAGTGAGTTCAAGAATTATAGTTTCCTCCCTGCCTGCTCTCATTATAGGCATGAGTTATATTGCAAAATAATGTTAGACCCTTCCAAAAGCCATTAAAATGAATGCATTTGACTGTGTTTACAGATGCAATCCTATACACCCTTACCTAGAAATAAGTCTCAGTGGACATAACAGAACTCATTTTTTAGGAGATGTGTGTAGGACTGTTCTGATAAGTCCCATTTATTTCAGCAAGACTTAGCCATGCTTCACTTTTTCTGGGCTGCACTCCTGATAAATAAATCTCAAATAGGCAGTCAGTTGACTTCAGAGTATAGAACAAAATGTAATAGATGAAATGTTCACTTAGGCATGTAGGCTCCAATTTATTTTGATGGGTAATAACTGCATTAAAGCCATCTCTGTGCAGCCCACTGTTAATTAAATGCCTCGGAACAAGCCGTGTTAACTTAGATCATCTTATGGATTATTGGCTCTGTCTTTCAATATAAAGTATTCCATCTGCCATCTGATAGCACTGGGTGATGACATGATAGGTTGGATGTAGAAATGACAATGGATTTTGGAAAGTGTGGAGAAGGGTTTGAAGTACAAACTTCTCCCACCAAAGTTTGGAAATCTGAGCTCCGTTGTGAACAGAGCCCAAACTCCCATCAAGCCAGCCAGCCACTGCTGCTACTTTCCACTGTCTCCCTGTGCCAACTTATTCTTCTAAGTGGTGGGGAAACCAGATGCAATACCATACATACATTGTAGGACTCATCTATAAAGCCTAAGTTCTAGTAGGTTCATGAGCATCATTTTCTAGTGGAATTTGTTGGGCAGAGATCTGGAAGACCCACTCCTTCCCTACAGACCTTGGTATTAAGATCAGGAGAAAGGAATCCTCTTGGTAGTTTCACTGCTCTCAGAATTTGGGGTGTGTTGTGCTTTTGAATTGCTGTTACCTGCCCTTGGACTTCAGGGTGAAGAGTGGCTAAGAAATCATCATCACTATCTTTTTTTAATTAATATTTTTATTGATTTTTACAAATAATTTCCAAAAATCATATAACATGCTTTCTTATCTTATACAATGTTATGGACTTCCATCAACTGCATCTGAAGATTTTCCAGTCTTTATCACTTAATCTACATTTCATTATTTTCAGTATTACATTTAATACTCCTTCACTAATAATTCTTAACATAGTTTTCTCTGCAATATTTCGCAAAGTCCTCCTTACAAAACTTCTTGCAATCCTACTAGCGTAATCTGTTGATTACAATTGCTTTTCAAATAGTTCATATATTTACTCCAGTCCTCTGAGAATCTCTGATCCCGCAGGTTTCAAATCCTTCCTGTCATCTTATCCAATTCTGCATAGTCCATTCATTACATCTGCCGTTCTTCTTTCGTCGGTAGTTCTTCTTGTTTCCATTTCTGTGCCAAAGAAATCATCATCACTATCACTTCTCTATATCTCCATGCCAAATACATTAAGTTAAGGGTCATGGGAAATGGCAGGTCTTGTGCGATTCAGCAAGCAACAATGAACTCTCCTTGGTGACATTCCTGAGCATGCTCAGGACGATCCAGGCTAGAAGGAAGAGGTCTGCAAGGTGTCTGCTATAATAAGTGAACCTTCTTTCCCCCTGGTTCCCTCACTATGTGGCAGTGTAAGATTGCTTTGAAAGGACTGGGAGAAGTCATTGGCATATGCCCCCCCCCCAAAAAATCTGGTTTTTAAAAAAGCTTTCGCAGAAGAAACCACAACAACTTAGAAAGACCAAGGCTTTTCTTCTGAGATGTTTTGAAGAAAACTCAGAGAAGCGTAAGGCAAGTCAGAGAAAGTTCACCCATCTTTAGCTGCAGTATAAACTTGTCACAGTATAAACGATGTCATGGAGAATAGAAAAACACAAGAGGTATTTTCCTTTTTTCCTTGTTAGATTTTTTAAAATCTCCAAACTCAAGTTTTTTTGATAAGCTGAAAATAAAATGTTAGACGTAGGAGCTATGTGATTGTTATATCTAATGGGGTATTTTTCGGAGATTAGACTGTGGGTTATGGGAGTCAGGCAGGGTGAACCCTGAACAGTTTTCCTGGCTGAACTCCCATCTCTAATTCCCATTGAATCAACTGCTGTTGGCTTTTCTTCAACAAAAAATACAGATATATGGTTCCAAGCATATTTTTCCTCAGGAATAAATAGCAATCAAGGGCAGGGTGGGCAAGTAAACAGTGCAAAGGAGAAGGAGTTAAGGGCCACAGAACTAATTGCATATCAGAGACGAGGAGTTGCTTTGATCTTTTAGATCTTGTTTGCAGATTCCTCATTTTAAGCCTAGTTTGACCCTTAAAAATATGTTTACACTAGAGAATTCATGAGAATTAGAATATGTCACTAACCTCCCTTTGCTGGTTTGCTCCTATTCTTTTTCAGCAATTGAAGTTTATGCACACCCCACATCAGTTTCTTCTGCTCAGCAGTCCACCAGCCAAAGAATCCAATTTCAGAGCTGCTAAAAATCTCTATGGAAGTACCTTTGCATTTCAGTGAGTATCCAAAGCTGTAAACTTTTAAAAATCACCAGTATGAAATTTTCTGAAATGCATACTTTTCTTCTTCCAGCACATGGTTTTAGAGCAAATGGCTAGTTTTATTATTTATTGATTTTTTAAAATTTCATCTGAAGATCACAGGGCTGTTTGCATCATAAAAAAATACAAATTGAGAACACAAAATGCATAATAAAAACAAAAACTAAACACATTGTTTTTCATTTTGGTTTCTCTATGACAGTACTAATTTCCTCTCTGTGTGTTTTTCCCCCCTCTGAAAGTGGGTCACACATTGAAAACTGGCACTCTATCCTGAGGAATGGCTTAGTAGTTGCTTCCAATACAAGACTGCAGGTAAAAGGAAAATTGAAAAGGAAAATATATGGGTTGTTTCTTAAAGGCAGCTTTGGGTGCAAGACATTGAAGTTACAAGCTTATAAACAGCATTGTTTATCTGGAAGAAAGTCTCAGTAAACTCAGGGGTCTTTATTTCTGAGTAGACTTGTATAGGATTGAATAGCAACAAAAAGTAGATTCCAGACAGACAAAACCGTACTAATTCACATAATGCAGCAGGGGGGAAGCTGCGACCTCCCAGTTGTTTTGGGGCTACAACTCCTACCCTTGACCTTTGGCTCTTCTGGATGAAGTTGGTGGGTTCTGGCATCCAAAAACCTCAAAGGGGCTACAGGTTTCCCACCCATAATGCATTGCTTGATGTGTAGAATTTGCTGTGGCAGGTGTAGCAATGGCCACCAACTTTGATGGCTTTGAACAGCTTAAGCAATAAGGATAAGGGTCTCAAAGGAACATGGGAAGATGCCATGCATCAAGTCAAACAATTATTCCAGCTAGCTTAGCAAGGCCTGCACTGAGTAAAAGAGGCTGTGCAAGATTTCAGACAGGGTTTCCTCCCAGCCCTACCTAGAAATGGCAGGGTTTGAACATGGGACCTTTTGCATTCAAAGCAGATGCTTAACCACTGAGCTACAGGTCCTTTGGGTTCAGCTCTCTATAATGTTAGCCATTATAGCTAACAGCAGTTCAAAGACTGTATACCACTGAATACTAAATAAATTGAGAGTTTGAGATGAGACTAAAACAATTCAAATGTTGTATGCTCTTATTCTGCAGCAGGTCTAAGAACTGTACCGATTTAAGAATGAGCTAAAAGGTCCTTGTTTTGTTGCAGCTCCATGGTGCAATGTTTGGAAGTGGAATCTACCTTAGTCCATTGTCAAGCATATCTTTTGGTTACTCAGGTGATGTATTTAAATCTCTCCATGTGCAGAGGGGAGTGGGATATGACAGAGTGAATGTATTTTTAAAACAGAGAACCAAATGCCTACTGAATTAGCCTGTGGCAACTTTCCTCCTCGTTCTATATATGGCTCAAGGCTGTGTTTGTTGGAGAGATTAAAAGATGGAGGAGGAAGGAGAAGCAGGAGTGGAAGTCAGATAGTCATATCTCACAGGAAGACTTTGTGGAGGCTGGAAGTTGTTGCAGTTTTCTGGCTCAACAGAGGGAGTTGAATCCAACTAAATTATTGCATGTGTGGAACAACTTTCACAAGCCCAGTGGTATTAACCCTGCTTTCCTTTACCTGCACACACCCCACACTGCCCCCATATCTGCTCATGCAGATTTGAGGGACCTGCAGGGCGAGGAGATGGGCACAAAGTTACATTGCACTCAGTAAAGTTGTTCTGCCTGCACAACAGTTTAGTTGGATACAGCACAGGGCATATAAGATCTATATTTCACAATGCACACTGGGTTGCAGACATATGGATTCACAAAGGGCCATCCTTGCTAGGATACACACCTGGTACCTTTTCAAGGATATGCAACATACTGGCAGGAGCCTCACAGTGTGGTCTCCCCGGGGAGAGAGGCAGGAGACAACTAACACTCCCAGCTTACACAGGCAACAATTTCATCATGGCTCCAAGCACCAAATCAGTCCATTCACTGGTCTAGGCTTAGAGGTGTGTCAAGCTCCATCTCATGTCACATGAACAGGCATAGATGTGACTAAGCCACCAGTTCCCCCAGTTGGCTCTCCTCCCATGTACCCTCCAGCCAGTTGGCTGTGAAGAATTGGTTGAATAATGAGCCCTTCGCCTGGTGGAATGCTCTGTCGCATGAGACCAGGGCCCTGCAGGATTTAACTTCCTTCTGCAGGGCCTGTAAGACAGAGCTAGTCTGCCTGGCTTTCAATTTGAACTTAGCCTGATCTTTTATTCCTCTTCCTTTCCTCCCCCTCCCCTTTTTATGAAGATTACCTGCTCTGGGATCCCACAGCTAATTCTCCCCTGGTCTCCTCACTGGCCCAAATAGGACTAATTTAGCCAGCTAGCCCTGGTGATCATCTAATGTTTATTGGATGAATTTCCCCCCTAAATTGATTTTTGAATTCTGAATTTATTGTTATTCACATTTTATACTGTATGCTGTTTTTTGTTGCATCAATTAAGTGTTTTAAATTTGTTCTTAGCCGCCCTGAGCCTGGTTTTCTGAACCGGGAAGGGCGGGGTATAAATAAAAAAATATTTATTATTATTATTATTATTATTAAAAATGTTTCACTTGTCTTCTGCAGTTTGGTTTAATGCCTTCCCCACTCATACTGAACATGCCAGCTGTGACCAAAAAAAGTCTTCTGCCAGATTGTCATGTAAACCCCAGGAGCATTTGCAGCAATAGTTTGGTGGAGAGAGGGAATGTATTCCTAGGTGTAGGAGATATCGCTGTGCCCTCCCAGAAAATCACTGCTTACTTCCAAGCAGGTGACTGATTGGTTGATTGGCTAATCCCAAACTGCAAAGTGCAGGGGAGGTGGTAGGGTTTTTTGCTGCAGCGGGAGGGGAGACGGCACCTGCCACCCACATTCCCAATTTTGTCTTTGTTGCTAATTGATTTGGTCTCCACCACAAGAAAAAGCGTACAAATCAAAAGAGAACATCTCATTATCCATATGGTAGTATATTTGCTTTACAAATATATATAGTAAAACAATAATCCTTTAAAAATCCAAGGTGAGCTGAAATGAAATGAAGTATTAGTTATCTACTAGCTATAAAACACTGAAAATCCAAAGCAAAAAATTATAAAATATCCATAGGCTACAGAGGGATTCCAGTTTGTTCTGTCACTGTTTTCCCCTTGTTTTAATATAATGTGGTTAATTTAGCTACCCGAGCAAATTTGCAGGGTTTCCCCCCCCACACACACTATTTACTCCTTTATTGTAATCTCCTTTATTGTAATTTTATTCTGTTGTTGGCCAACAAAACTGCTGCCCCCCCAAAAGCCATATCCATAGCTGTCAACTTTTCCCTTTTCTTGTGAGGAATCCTATTCGGAATAAGGGAATTTCCCTTTTAAAAAGGGAAAAGTTGACAGCTATGGCCATATCTCTGTGCATGAAACGTAACTCTCTTAGACTCCTTTCTGATAAAATATAGTTTTGAGATCCCTGAAATAAAAACCATGCAGAGCAATCCAAACCCCCAATCTGCCATCTGAGGGGGGATGTGGGTTTGGCTGTCCCTCCACCCAGCCCTGGCTGGCCCTGCTGGTGGGGGGAGCTGCACTGCTGAAGAGCGCTTCAATGCACCTGCACAAAAGGTGGGCAGGCAGGTGCTACTGCTAATGACCACTCTGCTGGTGATGGTCAGTGGAAAGGCGTGAAGAAGTGATGAGACCGGACTGAGCCAGCACAGGATGCAGAGGAGATTGTACCATCTCGCTGGCAGCATAGAAAGTGCTCAGTTTACCAGGATTGTCAGCTGCTGGAAAGAAGAATCAGCTGTAACATCCGTGTCTGCATGCACTCTCCATTTATATGAAGTGGAACATCTGACATTTTACGCACCAGTATGTCTGATGTAAATCTAATGTCTTTAGGGATGAACAAGAAGCAGCAGAAGGTGTCAGCGAAGGATGAGCCTGCTTCAGGCAGTAAAAACAGCAATGTGTTACAGGTAAAGAAATATATGAAGCATTTCTAAAAGACATTTTAGTTTTATGTCCTTGCTAGCTCAGGGCAGGTACTGGATATGAGGCTTATTTAGCCCCAGAGCATTCATGTGCACATGAGATAGTGGTGATGGAGGAATCCACAAGGGCATTGCATTGGCAACTGAGAATTCTACAAGAACTGTTTTCTGTGTCAAATAGTAAGTTGTTGGACTGCCGTTCCTCTGTTGCAGGGATGGGGAACCTGCGACCCTTCAGAAGTTGCTGGACTCCAGCTCCCAGCATCCCCAGCCACCATGGCCAAATGTCAGGCATGATGGGAGATGTAGTCCATCCAGTCAGATGAGTGGTATATTATTATTATTATTATTATTATTATTATTATTATTAGGACAACAGGTTCCCCATCCCGGTATTGTTGCCCTGTGCTCTATGTTGGCACTAACAGACATAACTGGTATATATACAACTCCACAGGAAGGGCTAATGAGAGCTCAAATATCTCATGCTTGATTGGTAATCAAAAAAGATTTACACTGTCACATATATTATCCTAATTTGAACTCTTTCGTTCATCTGTCAGCAAATATATGTCTCTTGTAAGGAAATTTTTCTGCTCTCCTACTGCTAGGAGAAATTTGATCTGTTATTAAACCAAGGATTGAACTGATAGCTATGAGCAATATTACAGAGAATGTTTATAGATTTGCCAGAACAATTAATGATATCAGTACTTCTAGCAAGAATATGTCAACCAGACCTATTAATAACTCCTTCATTGGCCAACATTGGGTTTTTTTTAAAGAAGTACTGTACCACTGGAACAGAGGAAGCATTCTTAAAACCAAATCAGACCATTAGTTTAGTTTAGTACAGTCTACATTGACTGACAGTGACTGTGTAGGGATCCAGGCATCAGCCATTCCCTGAGGTACCTGGGGATGCCAATGGGGATTATACCTGGGGCATTCTGCATGAAAAGCAGTTGTTCTACTACTGAGCTGCAGCCCTTCCTCAAATTGCTTTCTTTTCACAGCACAACTTAATATTTAGTAACTATTTAGTCAGTGATCTGTATTTAGTATAATTTTGTCTTCCAACGCTTGCCTTCCCTTACAGTCGCAGAAAAAAGGACAGCAGTCTCAGTTTTTGCAAAGCCGAAACTTAAAATGTATAGCCTTATGTGAAGGTAAGCAAGAAAAACAATAAAAGACAAGAAGGGTCTTCTTCCCGCAGTCGAAATGAAGCGACTACACCTCCAACCTAACTTGGTTGCATAGTGACATCATTTCCTCTTCACAGGAAGCCTGGGAATTGTGAAGGGGTGGTAGGGGTCTCTAAACAGAGAATTCTCTACAGCTGGTTTGAATTCTGCAGGTGCTTAGAATGGATTTATTCCATCTTTTTTGGTTCCATTGTTCTCTTGTGCCTACCCCAAGTTCCTTGGTCTCCAAGGCAACAATGGTTTCTTCTGAATCACCTTGATTGAAGGCTGTGGTGCAAAAAGTTACCTCAGTTGGTCCATCACCCTCATACCTGGCTACCCATGGATTTAAAGGAAGCCAAATCAATGATTAAGCAGAGGCGTCTGGATATAGGTTTCCAAGGGATCTTGTTATCCCAAGTCACTGGAGATACCATGCCATACTTGGGGTGGTTATCTATCCCTAAATATAGGAATACTTTTTTTTTCTCAGGAAAAGTTTAATGATCTCCCCTCTAATTTCTTAGACGGCAGATATAATAAAAACTCAAAGAACAGGTGCTGCCCCCTGTAATAATGCTGAGGTGGATTCTTTTCTTGCATGTCCTTTTCTGTTATAACTTTCATCAAGGGGCTAGGAAAGATCTGATATATCCACACAGTCTGTCCCTGATCACTCCTCTGATTCTCTTCTGATCACTTTGCTTCAAGGCTCTATCTAATAAGTCAATCACAGAGCAAGTGGCAAAGTTTTTGAATACTATTAGACCTTCTCATGACTGCCTGACATATGCACACTGTCTAGCATTTT